CAAACCTAGATGTAAAAAAGCAGAATCATATAAACAGAACACTCTTAACCTTTCAAGAGCATCTTAACCAAACACTTGAAATATTCCAGCCTTTCCTACTACATGGAATATTTTTAAGCCTCATGAAATCCAGCTTGGTAAAATTGAAATCAAACTTATACTATACAACAGCCAACACGGCACAATTCAGGAGAACTTTAAAAGGAAGATGACTACTGCAGTGTTTGCTTTTACAGTCTCCTGATGACAATCAGAAGGACAAAACTGAATCTCCCCAACAACTGATGGCAAACTTTTAATGACTACAGCATGTCAACACTGCAAAACTGAGGTCTGCAATCATGTGATTGCTGCTGTGCTTGCTCACTGAAATTACTCATCATACAGTATTTAATACTCTCAGGTATAAAAATGTTTTTAATGGACTGCTCAGAATTTTATTTAGCTCTTCTCCCACTACTAGCTTCCAGTAAAAATGTTGTCAGCCATGCTCAATGTTTAGGTGCTGGAACAGGTTGCCCAGCACGTTGTGGCTGTTCCCTCCCTGGAGGTGTTCAAGGCCAGTTTGGATGAGGCTTGTGCAGCCTGGTCTAGCGTGAGGTGTCCCTGCTCAGAGCAGGGAGATTGGAACCTGCAGATTTTTATGGTCCCTTCCAACCTTAACCATTCTGTGATAATATATTTTGGTGGACATCACAGAAAAAAAGCAGAAAGACTTACAGAAGCAGTTTAAAAAGTAATTAGTATCAGAAGTTTTCATTGACAACTAATGGAGCTAAACAAATCAAGCATTTTGATACCTTGCATATATTACAAGGCAACAGTTTTTAAAACCCTAAAAATACCACTTGCAACAACAGTGCTCTTTTAGGACAGCCTCCTGATTTCCTGTGGCAGTTGGGGGGTGTGTAAGTGAGGAATACCAGGAAGGAAGAAAGAGAGAGTATGTTTGATGACAGCTGACTCTCGTGAGCATTGTGAAGTAGGATTTGAAGCACAAATGAAAACAATTTCACAGCAGATTTGCTCAACAGTTTTTGCTTTCTTCCCCTTCCACGTAAAAATATGCTGTATTAACACATTCTAGGTTACACTTTGTAAAGGTAATGAAACTGAACCTCAAAGAAACTGGCAACCATCTGCTGATGCCCATACATACTAGAAGCTTATTGCAGGCCCTCTGGCAGGATGCATCTTGTTCTGAAAAAGCATCAAAATATCTTCCTGGATCTTAAGATCAGAAAGCTTTTAGTAATACAGTAGTTCTCTGTTATCAACTATTTTTAAAAAACCTCTAAAGATTCATCACTTAGAGTCTAGTTTTAACTGACTATATTACCTCACCTAATGAATTATTGAGAGGTTTACAGTCCAGGAGACAGGATGGGACCACTGTGATCCCTCAAGTAGTCAATTTCTTAAATATGACAGTTCAGATCACGTCAAGAAAGGTTTTCAAAACAAGATACTACTAACCCCCCATCACTACGACTGAAGTGATTGGTTTCCCTTCAGGCAATAATCAAGGTAACTCTTTAAAACTCAACATTCGTCCAGTAACAACGAAAGGACAACAGCTTCACTTAATAAAACTGATTCGGAAGCACCACGGTGTGTTCAGTACTGCAAACAGGCACGTTTCAGACGGCCCATGTGAGCAGCAGCCTGACGGCTGAGTCCTGCCAGGCCAGGATGGGCAGCCAGAACGGCACCTGTAAGCAACGTGCACTGAACAACCACGACCTCATGCAGCTGCAAAAGCCACCCAGATGTGTGCCTGTGCCAGTGAGACAGCCATGCAGCTGTTCTGACCGTCATGGCAACCCTGTAACCAAACGCTGATAACTATCACTACCATCCCCCTGTAACCAGTTCAGAAATAACACCTTCCTTGCTCAGCACGACTGGCCTGCCAGGACCCACGCTGGAAGACACATTATCCTTGCTGGGCTGTTATCAAACCCAGCACTCTCAGATCACGGGATTATCATCATTTCCTTTTATTTTTTCCTCAGGGCAGGCTCTCCCCTGCTGCCAGAGCTCCGGGAAAGACCCGAACAAAGGCCACCGGCCCCGCTCGGGAGGCACCCGACGGCGAGCGCCGGGGCCGCGTTACCTCCGTTGATGGGCACGGGAGCCACCCGGCGG